CACCACGCTAGCCCTCGGTTGTCTTTTTATTGCTGAATTGCAAGAGTTATATTTTGGATACACAGCCGATCCTTGAGCAATACGGGTTTGAACTGTGTGGATTCACTTACACATGAATTTTTTTTTTTCAACCAAAGCAAATAAAAAAAAACAGTACTCATAAGGTGTCAAACCTGCATATATGGAGGAATGGCTTTTCATATACATGGATTCTACAGGGCCAGTTTTTAAGACTCAAGTATGTACAGATTTTGGTATACAACCATATATACCAAGGGATGAATATATATTCTAGATACCAGATTCTTGTCAGATATAAAACTTGCAAATATTTTCTACCATTGGGTGGGTTGTCTTTTCACTTTCTTGATAGAGTCCTTTAATGCATATATTTTAAAATTTTAATAAAAACCAAATTATATTTTCTTTGCATGCTTGCCCTTTTGGTGTCATATTTAAGAAACTGTCACCTAATATAAGGCCATCTACATTTCCTTCTGGAGATTTATAGTTTTAGCTCTTATATTCAGATCTTCCATCTATTTTTAGTTCATTTTTGTATATATTTGTAGATTTCCAGTTGTCACAGCCCCATTTTCTGAAAAGACAATTCTTTCTCCCATTGAATGGTCTTGGAAGCCTTGTAAAAAAATCAATTGAGCATAGATACATATGTTTATTTCTGGACTCTTAAATTTTACTCCATTGAAATATATGTCCATTCTTATGCCACTACCACACCGTTTTGATAACTGGAGCATTGTAATAAATTTTGATATTGGGAAGTTTCAAGTTGGGTTGGCCATAGTCCTCCACATATACAAATAAATTCTAGAATCAGCTTGTCCATTTCTTAAAAAAAAACAAAAAAACAAAACAAAACAAAAAAAACAGGCAGATGAAACTTTGATAGGAATTGCATTTAATCTGTAGATCAATTTGGGGGGATATTGTCATGGTAATAATAAGTCCTCTGATCCATGAACACAGGATATCTTTCTAGGCCATCTTTAATTTCTTTTTTTTTTTTTTTTTTTTTTTTTTTTTTTTGAGACGGAGTCTCGCTGTATCGCCCAGGCTGGAGTGCAGTGGCCGGATCTCAGCTCACTGCAAGCTCCGCCTCCCGGGTTTTTACGCCATTCTCCTGCCTCAGCCTCCCGAGTAGCTGGGACTACAGGCGCCCGCCACCTCGCCCGGCTAGTTTTTTTTTGTATTTTTTTAGTAGAGACGGGGTTTCACCGTGTTAGCCAGGATGGTCTCGAACTCCTGACCTCGTGATCCGCCCGTTTAATTTCTTACAACAGCATTTTGTAGCTTCCAACAGACAAGTATTTCACTTCGGTGGTTAAGTTTATTCCTAAGTATTTTATTCTGTTTGGTGTTACTGTAAATGAAATTTGCTGAATGTTCAGATTGCTCACTGCTACTGTATACAACAGATACTTCCACAGTGATCTTGTATCCTACAATGTTGCTAAGCTTATTAGTTCTAGTGTCAGGGCTTTTTAGAAAGATTATTTAGGATGTTATATATATTTTTTGATACTTTGTGTATATGTACATATACACAAATACATATATATGTATATATATAATCATGTCACCTACATATCAACATAGTTTTACTTCTTCCTTTTCAATCTAAGTGCCTTTTGTTTCTTTTTCTCATCTAATTGCTACAGCTATAATATCAAGTACAATGTGGAATAGAACTGTTGAGTATCCATGTCTTGTTCATGATCTCAGGAAGAAAGCTTTCAGTTTTTCACCATTAAGTATAATGTTAGCTGTGGGTTTATTCATAGATTCCTTTCATCAGTTTGAGGAAGTCCCCTTTTTCACTTATAAAAGGGTGTTTCTTTTTTTTAAGTCTCACTCTGTCACCTAGGTTGGAGTGTAGTGGCATAATCATAGCTCACTACAGAGTCAACCTGGGAGGCATGAGTCACTGTGCCTAGCTGGTGCTGGATTTTTATCAAATGCTTTTTCTACAATCACTGAGGTGATCATGTATTTTGTTTTGTTTTTATTAATATGATGTCATTAATTGCTTTTCATACATTCAGTTGACCTTACATTCCTGAGATAAATTCACTTGGTTGTAGCATATAATTTTTTAAAACAATGCTGGATTCTGTTTGCTAGTATTTTGTTGAGCATTTTGCATAGCTCTTCATTAGGGATATTGGTCTGTAGTCTTCTTGTGATGTCTTTCCTGTCTTTGTTGTACCAATAACAAATATTAGCCTTGTAGAATAAACACATCAGGGTGTGTTCCCTCCTCTTTTGGGGGAAAAATTTGATTAGTGTTAATTCCTCTTTGAATGTCTAGTAGAATTCACCAGTGAATTCACCAGTAATGACATTTAGTAGAATTAACCTGTGAAACCACCAGTGTATTCCCCAGTGAAGCAATTCACTAGGCTTTGTTGTTGTTGGGAGTTTTTGGATTACTGACTCCATCTTGTTGCTATAGGTCTATCCAGATTTTATATTTCTTCTTGAGTTTATTTTGGTACTTTGTGTTTTTCATTTGTCCACTTTCACTTGTTTGCATATATTAATAGCATTCTGTTATCCTTATTTTGTAAGTTCAGTAATGTCCCCTCTTTCATACTTCAGTAATTTTTATTATTATTATTATTGTTCAGTCAGCTAAAGGTTAGTCAGTGTTTCTATCCTTTCAAAGAATTTACTTTTGGTTTTGTTAATCTTCTATATCATTTTTCTAGTCTCTATTTTGTCTCTGTTATAATCTTTATTATTTCCTTTTTCTTGCATTAGGTTTAGTTTGCTCTTCTTTTATGTTTCTTAAGGTTATTGATTAGGTTAATTTATTTCTTTCCCTTTAAGGTAGGCTATAAATTTCCCTCAGAACTATTTTGCTGCGTTTCATAAGATCTGGTATAGTGTTTCATTACAAACTTTCATCTCAGAGTATTTTCTAGTTTCCTTTGTGATTTCTTCCTTGGTCCACTGGGTTAAGAGCATCTTGTTTAACTTCCACATATTAGTACATTTTAAAAATTTCCTTTTGCTATTAATTTACAGTTTCATGTTATTGTGGTTGAAAACATACTTTGTATAATTTCAGTCTTTTAAAATTTATTGAGACTTGTATTGTGGCCTAACATATGGTCTATCTTGGAGAGTATTCCCTGTGTACTTGGGAGGAATGTGTATTCTGTTGTTGTTGGGTGGATTGTTCCATTGATGTCTACTAGATCTAGCTGATTTAGAATAGTTATTGAGTGTTCGATTCCCTTGTTATTCTTTAAGTCTTTTGTTGATTTTTTTGTCTAGCATCCTTTCATTTCAGCTCCAAGTACTTCATTGAGCACTCACTTAGGGCAGGTTGGCCAGCAATGAATTCTCAGTTTTTGTTCATCTGGGAATGTCTTAATTTCTCCTATGTTTTCAGTTTTGTCAGACACAGATACAACCCCCCACCCCCCACCCCCTACAGCTCTTTGCATATACCATCTAATGCCTTTTGGTTTCTACAGTTTCTGATGAGAAATTAGGTATTAGTCTTATGGAGGATCACTTGTACATGATGAGTTACCTCTCTCTTGGCGTTTTTGATTCCCTCTTAGCCTTTGGCTTGTAACAGTTTGATTGTGATGTGTCCCAGTGTACATCTTTTTAGTGCATCCGACTTGGAGCTCAGTGAACTTTTTGGATGTGTAATGTTTTACACCAAATTTCCAGTATCCTGACAATATTTCTTCAAATATTCTTTCGGACTCTTTCTCTTTTTATCTGAGACTCCCATTGTCTGTATATTGTTGATGGTGTCCCACAGGCCTCTGAGGCTATTTCCTTTTATTCATTTTTTTTTTTTTCCTTTTCCTTAAACTGGAACATCTCAACTGACCCACCTTCATGTTTTCTGAGTTTTTTCTTCTGCCTGCTCAAAATTGTTTTTATCCCCTATAATGTATTATTTTGTGTACTAATTCTCATGTCCAAATAAGTTTCTTTTCATAATTTTTATAAAGTATAACTTTAAATTATAACTTTTAAAATTATAAATTTATTAAAAAACTTCCTTTTTATACCTGTATCTTTTTATTGTATTCTGTATTTGGTAAGACACTCTTCTCATACTTTAGTCCTTCAGACTTGGTTTCCTTAAATCCTTGAGTATATTTAAAATAGTTAAAATCTTTGTCTAGTAAGTTCAATATCTGGGCTATCTGTTGGAAATCAGACTCTCTTGCCCCACCCCATTTGTTGTTGCTGCCTTTTATAGCTGTGATTATATTTTAGTGACTTTCATGAACTCATTCTGTAAAATCTATATTCTTTGTCGTGTGACCACTTATGTATCTGATTTATTAGCTTAACTGTCAACTAATGATTAGATGAAGAGTTCCCTGAATGCCTAAAACCAAAAAATTGCTCCGTCTTTGCTGAAGGGCTCTGTGTGCCTGTTGGGACATGTCTTGGACACTCAGCCAGGCAGCTTCTAACTTTGCTTCTGCCTTCATTCCCTGCTGGCTCAGATCCTCAAGGTCAGGCAGAGGGGAGAGATTGGGGTCTCTCTGTTCGTTCGTGAACATGCACACAGTCCTAAACGTGCACAGAGCCTTCTAGAGTCCCAGCAATATGTAAGAGTTTTTCAAAGTCTTTATGAATATCTCATTCCCAACCTTTCTTCCAAAGCTTTCTGGTTAGTTTATTGTTTGCCCCAACTGTTACCCAGTGCTTCATGTAGCAATGACAGGTAAATGTTTTAAATAAATTCCCCACCTCCACCCCAGTAGAGGGTGAGTTCCATAATAGGTAAGATAAAGGCCAGTGTTTTGAATGGGTTTTCCCGGGAGCGATCAGACAGATCAAATAAGGTCCATTTTGCCGATAAGGTCCATTCTACTCTTTCCCATACCATGAATGTGGCATGTGCTTTTCAAGACTACTGCTGAACTAGGGAGCAAGGTATGGAATTGGCATAAGGTAAAGCACCAAAATGCTTGCTGTTATTACTAACATTTCGCTTTTTTTTTTTTTTTTAAGTAACTCAGGTTACTGTGATTTTTCTATTAGTTTCTAGAGTCCTGAAAAAGTTGACTTTGACCATTTTTTGAAGGCCAGTTTTATTGCTACCTTTATGAGGGGACAAAATTTTAAAATTCACCATTTTTGCTCTCACCATGCTATTATATGATTTTACATCTTAACCAAATAGTTAATAGAACCCAATCATTATGATAATCTCAGACTGAACAATGTACAGTTGTGGTTTGAAACTTTGTTTTCTTGCTCTCAACCTCTTATCTCAAGGACATCCTGCTGAATTATAAAGGATATTAGTTCAGTTTTTCTTCTTGCCAACATGCACAAGCACTCTACCAAATTTCATGTTAATTTACAATATATGTAACTATCTCTGTGCAAGACAGGGAATTTCTCAATGGAAAACCCATGATTTGGTTATATTTTTAAACTCTGATGCTTATCACAGAGCCTACTACCTAGTAGATACTTAAGAAATGCATTTAATAAGACTAATGAAAAAAATAGCTATCATATATTGAGTTCTAACTTTAGCCCAGGTCTTATGCCAAGCAAATTTCTAAACTATTTTTTAAAATTGTAAAATATATGAACAAAAGTTTATGTAACATATATGAAAAATTTTAAAGAATATTTAACAGTACTAACAACCTAGCATAAGAATAAAATATTATCAGTAACTTCAACACATCCTGTGTTTCCCTCTCCATAATCTTAAATTGTATCAATCATTTCCTATATTTTCCTTACACCTTTACCACATGTATATCTATGTATATTTTTTATACTTTATTAAACATTCTATAAAAGGGTATTATATTATTCTGATTTCTTTCTCAACATTATATAATTGAAAACCATTCATTTTCTCACTGCTGTACTCCATCCTATGGATATATCTAAAGACATTTAAGCTAACATTATTCTGGATAGAATAGGTTGAAGTAATAAATCCCTAAAGGAAGGATTAGAAAACAAAAGTAACCAGGATCAAGCCCTAGAATATGCCAACTTTTAGAAATCATATAGAGGCAAAAGAGCCAGGGAAGAAGGTCAAAAGGGGGTTGGGCTAATGAAATTGGAGGAAAATTAGGAGAAAGTGGTGCCATGGAAGACTGGAAAGGATAGAATTTCAAACAGAAATGTGTAGAATGACACTGAGAGTTCAACAAGTAGAGATACAGAAGAATCTGCTGGATCTGACAACATATAGCACTGATGAAAAGCTTATCAGGTTAGTTTTGGTGTAGTGGTGAGAGACTGAAACTATATTGGGATACTTTAAAGACAGAATGAGAAATGAGGAAGTAGATGACAGCATGTCTAAACTAGGAAAGGAAGCAGAGAAATGGAGGTGTTAGGATCTGGGAAGTAGAGAGTATTAAAAAACATGATGAAGATTATGACATTATGTATGACATTAAGAATAATCCTAGCGAGAGGCCAGTTGTTGCTGAAGCATAATGAAGGGATAACCCAGAGAGAGAAAGTTCTAATAAGAAGATGAGAGACGCAAGCCAGAGCATAAAGGAAGGGAATATCCTGTCATAGAAAGAGAAATAACATCTCAAGTGCCAAACGAGGAAGGAGAGGAGATGGGTGTGATATTTGAGAATAGGAAAATAAGGAAGATTAATAGTTTCTATTCTTGGTGAATTATGAAGGATATTAAATGAGAATGTGGATGAAAAAGTCCTTTAGAAACATGGAAAGTTAAGAGTAGAATTACAAACCAATATTGAATGTCTGTCTTAGTTTATTTAGACTGCTATACCAAAATACCATAAACTAGGTGGCTTATAAAAACAACAGACATTTATTTCTCCCAGTTCTGGAGGCTGCAAAGCCCAAAATCAGGGCACTAAAAGATTTGGTGTCTAGCGATGGCCTGCCTCCTCATTGATGGCTGTCTTCTCACTGTAACATCACGTGGTAGAAGGGACAGGGATCTCCTGAGCTGCCTGAGTAAGGGTACTAATCCCATTCATGAGGGCTTCATCCTGACAACCTAATCACCTCTCAAAGGATCCACCTCCTAATACCATCACCACAGGGGTGAGGATTTCAACATGAATTTGGGGAAACGTAAACATTCAAACTACAGCAGTGCCCATTATGAACACTGTAATCATGAATTCCGAGTAAAGTCAATCAGTCCATTTGTGTCATCTTTTTCCTCAGGTAATATCCACCTGCTCAAGTGAAGGCACAGAGAAAGAAATGGAAAAGTTGAACCACATGAGGGTTTTGGCATCCAAACACCCTTCCTCTCTGAAAGAAGGGCAGACATGCATTTTCTAGGTTATACTTATGCCAAGTGAAAATAATTCAAAATGTAAACTATGAAGTAATAGCAAATTTAGGTGTTATATTAATGGATTATTACTTACAATGTTTTATTTTGCTTTAGTTCTCAAGATCATACATACCACATTTTGCCTATGAGTCTTGCACTGATTACCTCAGTTTTGCCCTATGTTGTACTTCCTTTTCTATTAGTGCATTTTCTAAAAACACATCAATAGGATGTATATCTATAGGATAGCTGCAATAATTGCTGCTCTATACATATTGTAATATTTTATTTGAAAAAAAGCCAGCTAAAAAGCACAATAAATTTTTCCCTATAAAACAAAGGAATTTACTCATGGCAAGGTATCAATCTTCTTTCACTGTAGAAATAAATTATATAAAATTTAAGTTCTTGATTTACACTTTATTTTCTGTCTTTTATATATAACACATACTAATCGAAGGGAAAAAAACTAAAAATACAGATTTATACCCAAATGGATAATGATTATATAATCATTCTTACTCCAAACAGAATTGTATTAGGTATAAACAATTATAAACTTCAGATAAATAGGTCATATTCTATAAATACTAATTTGTTATATACAACATAATCTTCTGCAAATATTAGTTTTATGTTATTACTTTTCAAAATATTTCAAGCTAGTTATTTTTTTCCTTGTGCTTAAGTTTTCGCATTTGAAATTTAGGGACTTACCCCTTTTTATAGATTTACGAGAAATCAAGTTTTTTTGCTGATAAGAATGTCAAATCAGGCACACTGGGATTTATTCCTTTAAAAATACAGTCATTTTGAATCTTCCTAATAGGTAATGGTCTAAAGTCAGAGTCCAGTTACACCATGGCGATAAGACATACCGCCAATTGGCAACCCCTCCTCTGGCAGATTTTTCTCCAGTGTTTGAGTAGATCATTGTTTCTTGGTTTGAACACCAGATAAAATGTGTAGTTGGTTGGATTTAGGACCCATATTGTATGACAAATACCCATCTTTAAACACCAGCCTTAGACACAGCTCAGGCTGTCTACATGCTTAGAGTTCATTGGAAAGGCTGAGTTCCACCTTGCGTTCCATTGAGGGCTCCCACAGAGTGGAATCCACCCTGTTTAAATCACTTTTCTCTCTCCTTTTTTTCTCATTATTGCTGAGTGTATATTTAAAATTGTGTAAAAATGTATGCAGTCAAATATATATAGTATGCTAAAGTAGAACAGAAAGGAGATTCACTGCCATATACACCAGAAGCACAATTCACTGTTATTTTTCTCTCTTCTAACAACTCTTTAAGGGCAGCTATTTTGGGGACAGAGACATAGCTAGCTAGGTTCAGAAAGGCTACTAAGTATACCTACTCATATTAATAAGAAAGCAAATGAATCTTTAGGCAAGGAGACATTTATTAGGTCATATCCTTATACTAATTCTTAAATTTAGACAAATGTTTTATATGCTGTTAATTTAGAACTACTAGTCTTGTAAAAAAAATTCTTCAAACCTTTCATATTACTTTATGCTTCCTGAATACAGTGAAAACTGCAGAGCTGGAGAGATGGCTAGCAAAAAAAAATACAGCATCTTATTTAGAGTAGATACACAGCAATACTAGCTCAGGTCAACATGTTATTTACTTCCATGTTACTGAGACCAAAAAAAAGAAAAAAAAAATTATCGGGACTTACAATCCCATGATACAAAGAAAACCGTAACTATCACATTTTAGAGTAAAAATTCAAAGAATAAAAAATAACCTTCAGTGTTTTAGGGAGGTCATATTTTGCTAACACAATGAAATAAGATAATCAGGAAAGAAGCGTCTGCACTTGCTGTGGCGATCGGTGAAGAATGTTCTCTGGATCTTTGTATTCATTGACTGGATTCATCACAGCTGCATACACTTCACCATAGGCTCTGCAGACTAATTCTGTAGATTGTTTTACGATCTGCTCTCTATTGATAAGCAAACAAAATGTAAACACATCATTTGAAAAAAATATTTTTACTAAGAATTATAAGACAGCCTGACATTTCAATCAATACATTTCACTTTCATTATCATTACACATACACTATTTAAGAATCACTATACGGGTACATGATTAATCCTGATTTGGGGATAAAACATAATTTTATATTCATTATTTAGTAAATCTTTCTCCATTAGTATATAGGTTGCAGAGGGCATGGACTGTGTTTTGTTCCTGATATATAGTGAACTGCTATATATTTGTGCCTGATACACAGGACTGCTAAATAAGAAACAAAAACTGTGACCCAATGTCAATGTATTGATTTTGCAAAAGTGGTAACACATTCAAGAAAGATGCTTACAATTGTTCAAATTTATCAACACTTTTATCTCTCAGAAAACTTAAACTGCTCTTTCACCTATAGCTTTTACACTAACAGCCACATCTCCTAGCTTTCTCTTCATCTCTCTATATCACCCCAAGCTAAAATGTGACGCTTGCAGCAAATCACAGCTTTCTCACAAATACACATTTCTACAAAAGCACACAAAAGAACAGAGTTTTGCCAATGGTTACAAAATTATCCAGCTAGAAAAAACAGTATTGGTTCATTAAACGTGCAACGACTCTCTGCATAGTTCCATGACAGTAACTTCCTGTCATCCCCAGCTACTTGTACTATTCATGTATCACCAAGAGAAGATGATACTAATGGTTCTCATGGTACTAGCCATGAGAACACTGGTACTAATTTTCTGATTTTTACAAAAACTAAAATAAAAATGTGTTTTTTTTTTTTTTTTTTAGGATGGAGTGTCGCTCTTTCACCCAGGCTGGAGTGCAGTGGCGCCATCTCGGCTCACTGCCAGCTCTGCCTCCCGGGTTCACACCATTCTCCTGCCTCAGCCTCCAGAGTAGCTGGGACTACAGGCGCCTGCCACCACGCCCCGCTGATTTTTTTTGTATTTTTAGTAGAGACGGGGTTTCACCGTGTTAGCTAGGATGGTCTTGATCTCCTGACCTCGTGATCCGCCCACCTCAGCCTCCCAAAGTGCTGGGATTACAGGCGTGAGCCACCGCGCCCGGCCATAAAAATGTGTTTTTAAAGCTTTGCTTCCAAACCTCCTTTTCTTGTAGTTTCCTACTTGTGTTAATGGCATAACAATGTCGTTATCACCTCAGTTCAGGTTCTAAAATGACCTCTTGCCTGGAGTACACGCAAACTCCTATCTATTCTTCTTTCAGTATCTTCCATATTCAATCCATCCTATGCACTGTTGTTAGATTAATCTTTCTGAGGCATACTTTCTATCATATCTTTCTCTTACCTGGAGCTTTCAAAGAGCATCAATGGCCTCTTTTGGTTTCAGAGAAGCCAACATTCCTTCTCTTGCCATTCAAAATCATCTAACACTTTCCCTATCACTACTCTAATTCCAGTGCTACTCCTGACTGTTCTCCCGGCTCTGGTCTTGCTGATCTCAGTTCCTTTGCTCCTACTTCATTTTCCTAGAAAGATTTTTAAATGCTCTTAATGTTCAGCAAAAATGTTCTCTCTTATCCATGAAGTCTTATCTGATCTTTAAAGCTAGAAATAATTACTTCCTTTGTGGAATGTCCATGGTACTTTTTCTGTTCCTTTCATATAGCTTTTACCACTCCTAACTTACAATAAAGCTTCTACATTTTCTTGATGTTCAGATCCCACCAGTTTTGTATCAGGAAGGGGTTAGCTCTGCATCAAATGGATATGACTGACATATAACCCAATTTCCAAAATGTTCTTTAAAAATTATTAAATTACAGAAATACATGCTGTTCATGTCTTACCTGTCCTGCAAAATTTCAAGTAACTTGACACTGTTTATGTTCATATGTCCCTTAAAATCCAGTATATTTTGAATATGATGGATGCTCAATAAATACATGTTCACTGAATACTTGATGGAGAAAAATAACTTTTTTGTTATTTATAGAGTCCTATTCTGGGCTCTTGAGCCACCACTGTTTTCCATAAATGCTGAATCAGTGGCTATTTCAGGGCAAACTGTTTCTTCACATAGTCAAGAGTATGTGACTGTGACTAGCCAGACTAACGTAATAGTTATAGCGTAATAGTAATACTGTGTTAAGTTGTAACACAAGTCAATATCATGAGGCCACCATCAACAGAACACATTCTTTGTTTTTCTAGAAATTATGTTCTTTTTTGGTAATAATGGATAGAATAATATATTTTTAAGATTATCTGTGGAAATATATGCATCTGTGGTCTAGAAAAGAAAATAGTTGGATGGAATAAGAAGTCCACCTATGATCTTGGAACATCTGTACACTGTTCTAATGGGGTCCAAACTCTTGGTGAGTTGAAGTAACTTGACAGTTTCCAAAAATTGCTAAAGCTTCCAAAATGACAGTGAGTAGTAGAAAGATATGCTGTGTAAATTTTCTGAGCAGAGTAGAGTGGTGCTACTGGTTGTACTACCTTTTTGCTGAAAGGAAAGGGATGATGGTAGAAACTGGCTTAGAAAACTACTTAACTAAACGGGGCTTGGAGATTTTTTTTTTTTTTTTTTTGGAGATAGTTTCACTTTGTCACCCAGGCTGGAGTGCAGTGGCATGATCTTGGCTCATTGCAACCTCTGCCTCCTGGGTTCAAGTGATTCTCCTGCCTCAGCCTCCCAAGTAGCTGGGATTACAGGCATGCACCACCATGCTTGGCTAATTTTTGTATTTTTAGTAGAGACGGGGTTTCACCATGTTGACCAGGCTGGTCTTGAAATCCTGACCTCAGGTGATCCGCCCACTTTGGCCTCCCAAAGTGCTGGGATTACAGGCATGAGCCACCGTGCCCAGCCTGGAGATATTTTTTGATCTATTGATTGGTGATCTTTCCTGTAATTAAATTTGCTTGACAATGAATGTAACAAAATAATGCAAAAATTATTTTTCATGAAAACATACTAGAAACTAGTATTTTAAAACTTTATTACATATAACACACATTTGATACCCACTTTTGCAACAAGTCAGATACTAGATTTTAGAAATAGTGTTCTTCGTTCTTTTCTAAGTGCAATAACATAGATTTCTGAGAAGGGTATAAAGCATTCATTATCCATGCCTCATACTCAAGTCTATACTCAATCTCAATACAGCATATATTTGATCATATATAAGGAGTACACAAAATAAGGCTATTTCTTCTCATAAAAAGTATAAAATGTACAATTATAAATATTGAATATGATTTTTAAAAGTTCAGAGTAACTTGTAAATGTAGTATTGTTGAAACTTCTGAAGTAGTGAAGTTTAAATTTCATTTTCAAGTAACAGTGATAAAAAATTTAAAATGTACTGAAATTTAGTTATAACCTGACACATTTATTTCTAAGCTATATAAATTAGCTCACAAATGTCTGAAACTAACAATACAGCTGAAAATCCATTAAGTCTGCAATAGATAAAAATAAAATAAAGCAGTACTGCATAAACATAGATAATTAAATAAAATCAAGCCAGTTAAAACTAAACAAGAGTTTATAATTTATTTTAAATTTTGATGTTAGATGGTATAGTACATCTTCAATCTGCTCCTCACTTTAAAAAGCCACTGAGATAGGAAAGGGGTTAAAAAAAGAATATGCATATGGTGGAGAAGATGAAGAAAGCAAAGCTGGTGGATAGAAAGAAATCTTCATGTATTACCTGAAGGAAGGAGGAAGGAAAAAAAGCAAAGAATAAGGAACTGCTCCTCCTGGCCTGCTAACTGCCTGCTAAAGCCAACAGGATAGAAATAAAATGAAAAGGGAGATTCTCTAAAGTGAGTCTGAGTCAAACTCAAACTATAAAGACCAAGAACTCTGGATGACAGTGTGATTCTACATTTCTGAACAAATATGAGTTCATTTATCACTACCAAAGCGACAGGTTCCTTCACTCACTTTTATTAAGTATTTTCTAATCAGTTCTATAGGGTACAGTAGAGATAAAATGGTATAGTGGAGGAAATTACTGTTAGAAGACTTACATTCTAGTTGAAGCTCTGCCACTTATTATTGTTGCCTTGAACAAGTAATTTAACCTCTACTAGTTAAATTATTAGATGAATTAGTTAATCTTTATAAGGTACTTTGAGCTTTTGAGCGATATTATTCCATTGAGAGTTAAGAGTATTTTAATGAGTTATTGTTTAAAAAAAACTACCTACATGAATAAATACATCACATATGCATACACATACATTATTTTAGGGAACTAAGTTTCCCAAAATATGATTTATAAAAGCATATCAGTTATTTGTATATAAATGAATGTTTCTATAGTGCTAAAACCATTTTATCCTCTTGCCAGTTTACTATACTTTTTATTTACAGTAATAATTACTATGTAAATTCATCCTTTATCTTAAAAAGTATATGAAGTATCTGTCTATCAATCAACTGATCAAATGATTTTTAAAAGTTCAGAGTAACTATCTATATTGTCTGCCAGCCTGCCTGGTCTTAGCCCAAATTATTCATTAAATACTAATATCACATATGAAATATAGAGTCTCAAACAATAATGAATCATTATAGTGACAAATAATCAATGTTCAAAATGGAAAAGTTTCAAGGATTCTATGACTAAATCCAAAATGACCAACAAATCATATCAGTTCAGTCACATGCTCCTGAAAGTTGGGAATGTCCTTATCAACTAAACACCCTATGTACAGGCAGTGAAAGCAGTGAATTTTTGTTGTTATTGTCAGCAGTGCATGCTGAACACTGGTTCTAGCATGGGCATCCACTTGATTTTACTTACTATTTTGATCAATCATAGCCTAGCCCATACTGATGGGGAGTACCTTCAGGACTGTTTCTGTCCTCTTGCTTTTCACAACACCAAAAGGTATGCAAAAAGACCAGCTGAAAGGGGAAAGTAACTTTTTAAAAATTATTATACTTTTAAGTTCTAGGGTACAGGTGCACAAGT